CTTCGACAAACTAAGGCAGAATCAGTTATACGTAAAGAAGGAAAAGTGTGCGTTCGCACAAAAGCGGATCACGTTCCTTGGCCACGTGATCGAACAGGGGCAAATCAGTATGGACACAGATAAGGTAAATGCGATCCAAGAATGGAGAGTCCCTACCTCTGTGACCGAGTTGCGCTCCTTTTTAGGGTTGGCCAACTACTACCGACGATTTATCGAAGGATTCTCAAGGAGAGCCTCCCCAATGACAGAGTTACTGAAGAAAGGAATGACCTGGATGTGGTCGAAGGAAAGTCAGGACGCCTTCGAAGATCTAAAGGCGGCCATGATGAAAGGCCCAGTACTTGGGCTAGCCGACGTGACGAAGCCGTTTGAAGTAGAAACGRAYRCTTCAGACTACGCTTTAGGTGGTGTCCTTCTYCAAGACGRTCACCCGATYRSTTACGAAAGTCGCAAGCTGAATAATGCGGAACGACGTTATACCGTATCAGAGAAAGAAATGCTAGCAGTCGTTCACTGCCTYAGGTCTTGGAGGCAGTACTTGTTGGGCTCATMTTTTGTGGTAAAGACGGACAACAGTGCAATTTGCCACTTCTTCAATCAGCCTAAGCTAACATCCAAACATGCCAGGTGGCAGGAATTGTTAGCCGAGTTTGATTTTAAGTTTGAACACAAGGCAGGAAAGTCCAACCAAGCTGCCGACGCTCTTAGCCGTAAAGRAGAACATGCGRCCCTGTGCATGTTAGCCCACATTCACACCAGCAAAGYGGACGGGTCGATCCGTGACCTCATTRGAGAATATCTTCAAARAKACCCCTCCGCCCGAACTGTGGTCGAGCTGGCYAAGACCGGGAAGACCCGCCAGTTCTGGGTYGAAGGGGACCTATTATTTACAAGAGGAAACAGACTGTACGTGCCAAGAACGGGAGACCTGAGAAAGAAGCTCCTACATGAGTGTCACGATACTCTATGGGCTRRTCACCCGRGGTGGCAACGGACTTACGCCTTGCTSAAAAAGGGGTACTTTTGGCCAARTATGCGGGAAGATGTGATGCAATACACGAAGACCTGTCTTATCTGTCAGCAAGATAAGGTAGAAAGGACTAAAATAGCAGGGTTGCTTGAACCCCTACCAACTCCTACGAGACCATGGGAGA